AAATAAAATGGATTTATTTCCTTACTCCTACTCCTTACTCCAGCTTACTCCAGCTTACTCCATGTATTGTAGACCAGCCTTCACGGAAGATTAATAATTATTCATAGAATCTTCCCCCCCCCCTCTCTACGTACGTTAATTGTTCGTCAGGATCTCACTTTTGTGCGCAGGTGTAGGTTGTCGGTAAGAAGATTCCCCGTTGCCAGGTTGAAATAATGGAAGGTCCCGTGGAAACAGTCTGTCGTCCTGAAGTTTCCCTCTTGGTTACATCGAGCTACGATTGAACCGCAAATACGTCGAGGAAACATGTGCAGATGTTGCGGACTACTATCGAGTGGATGACAGGCTCGTCGAGGATGGACTCGAGCAAGAGACCGGGGACGGTTAGTAGCACTGTCGCGCAGTCCGAGAGTTCAGACTCCATAGAGGTACGCATTACGAGACACCCGTGAGCGGTTTATAAATATTTGTCGGTTGATCTGACTGTGCGATATTCAACGATCCGTCGATTACAGGTGGACAATTCACGTACAGTTTTGCTAAAGATAGCGACGCTGTATGCGGAGCGTCTTATGAACGACATTTGTCTTGTTGTGGATGGCGTGGAATATCCGGCGCATCGACTCATACTCTGTGCTTCTAGCGATGTTTTCCAAGTAAGCGGGGAAAATCTGTACAGAGAGAGATGGGTGTGTTGTTGCGGAGCGATACTCAGCGTCGCGCGTTAAATTTACAGGTGATGCTGATGAGTCCGCAGTGGAGCGAGTCTCAGGAAAGCAGGGTGACTCTCCAAGAGACGCCGCAGTGCGCGCCGATATTCAGCGAGTTTTTGCGCTATTTTTACACCGGCCAGATAAGGATTAACCATAGCGTCGTTTTACCGATTTTGTCCCTCGCCGATAAGTACAACGTCAAAGATTTGATATCGCTGTGCCTTGACTACATGCGAAATCATGTCGCGCTGGCTGCTATACACGGCACTCTGGTATCGTGGCTGCAGTACACGCTGAATTGTGGGCATCACGACATTAGCCAAGCGTGCCAGAACTTCATCAAGTGGAATTTGGAGCTTGTGGCCAAGACTGCGGACTTTGGGAATTTCGATCTAGATATCCTAGTGTCCTTGCTGCATCAAAGTAACTTAGTTGTAAAAGATGAGATGACGCTCTACAAGTGCCTAGAATATTGGCTGAGGTATCAGGCGGGACGTTTGAGAGCGCAGCTGTCGCCGGACGAGTTGGAGGCGACGTTGCATCAGCTGGTGATAGCAGTGATGTCGCCCGTTAGATTCCCGATGATGTCACCGCGACAGCTGGCGGATTTACTGCTCTCGCCGTTAACGAAGAAGTACAAGGAATTCTTCGTGGAACGTATGTCGATTGGCATGTCCTTTCATTCAGGTCAAATTGACAGAGTGAGAGAAGTCAGCATGAGCGAAGAGGATGGTGCGTTGCTGTTTGAACCGAGACTGTACACAGTCGACACATGTAGCTCGTTATTGACTATAGAGAACTTTCACAGTTTGCCATCTTATCACATGAGGACACTTGTATTTTCTAGTCACTCCAGTTTAGCTGAATATGCGGGGGATAGGGTGTGCGAGTGGGTAGTAGACATTTATCCTAAGGGTGTGTGGTTCAAAAAGTTTTTCCTCATAGTCTGGCAGGGCACGGTGGAGATGCCCGAGCACGTCAAGCGATCGGTGAGATTGTCGTTGACCTGCAAGGAGCCGTTGAATAGTGACATGCGTGTGAAAATTGGAGTTTTAATTTATGGCTTGCAAGACGGCGTCGAGCACATTGCGAGAGTTACCGAGATTATTCATAGATTCAGTAAGAAGGATCGCGTCTTGAATTTGGACGATCTCCTGCCATTCGAGGAGCTCAATCCACAACAGGGTTCGGTATCGGAAAATGTCGTATCTCCATTTTTAGTGGGCCCCAACAAAGACATGCTCAAATTACATATTGTTATATCGCCAGCGAATTAACATTTACAAAGGAAATCTGCGATGCGAAAGCGTTGCTGAGAGTGTCGGGAAATCAATGTTAATAATGATTATTTTTTTATTGGTTTATCCTACGTTTTCACAGGAAATTCAATAAGAGTATATGAATGTTATATTGCAGAGTGTTTTGTTTTACACAATTACACTTGTTTCCTTTCTCTCTTTTTTACATATAATAATACGAAAAAATATTTTTCCATATATAAAACAATATTTAAAATAATATGAAATATTCGTTATATTATCATAAATTGTGTACATTTACTGCATACGTTCCTGAATATTTTATTTCTAAAGCCCGGTTTCACCAACGTTGTTCAAGCTTAGCTTAATTTGTTCTTTGTCTCTTTCCAACTGTTACTTTAGAGAGAGACAAACATGAATTAAACTAAGATTACAGTTAAGCGACGCTTGGTAAAATCTGGTCTAAATTACATATATAAATTGACTGATTTAGAAATGTAAAACTATTTCTATTTATTTGCTTCTATAATGAGGTATATGTACGTTACATTGCAACTATAACATATCAAATGCAATGTACTTCAGTAAAAAGAAAAACTCAGTAAAAAAAAAGAGGAAAACTTAGTCCCCGCTGTTGTACTGTAAGTATTTAATTCTATGAAGTCATAACAATGTAAACTCCTATTCCTACAATTTTGTCTGTTTGTATGCTGTTTGTATGAGTGCATATATTGTATAAATTATAATTGAGATACAAATGTATAAGTTGGCGAGGCTACTATAATATATACGAGTATAACATTGTGCAGAAAGCGAGCGCATTTTATGGACGTAGGTATGCGTTAATAGGCTTGTATGTTAATCGTGTTCCGCAAACTGACATTTTCGTAATGACAGATGCAATCGTCTGTGGTGCCCAGAAAGATGAGAGGAACTTTTTTAAAGTATCACATAGAATTTGCGAATATTCAGTTTTCTCCTTGAAGAGAAGAAGAGAAAAAGCGTTAAGGAGAGTGGTTGCTGAAATAAAAATGACAAAAATAAATTCAAATTTATAGAAAATATTCATTTATGGAAATCTGTCCCCCATGCGATAGTTCAAGACGATTGTCTACATGGTTGTCGAATAATTAATTATTAAAGTTATACTATTGCACATGGCCATAGCAAAAGTATTACGATATCTGTAATTTACTTCTCGAAAGCATGTTAAAAATGATAAGAACTTTAACATGTATATAATATATATAATATACATTATTTTAATATATATATGTATATTTTATAATATATATATTTTTCTATAAATTTAAATTCATTTTTATCATTTTTATTTGAGCAACCACCCTTCTTAAGACTCAACCGTTTTTAATCCTATGTATGCGATTTGAGACGGTTTATTGTTATTATTATTACGAACTTGAGATACTGGATACATCTGCGAATTTTGTGATTATTGCATATAATTTTCTTTATACAGGATGCTCCGCAACTTTCTGACCGCCGTTCACAGGAAGATAGAGGGGACTAAGCCAAACAGAAAAGTTCTGCACCATTTTGCACTTGGAAGAATAGTTATCGAGATATTGATGTTCAAAAATCGCCGTATTAGCCCGACCTACTGGCAAACAGGACTTTTCTGTTTGTCTTAATCCCCTCTACCTGCCCGTGAACGGCGGTCAAAAAATTGCAGAGCACCCTGTATGTCATTGGTCTTTTGCTGGCCCGATGACGAAAAATAAGTTATTAGATTTGTACAATTACATTGTAATTCCCATCGTAACGTGTTTCTAAATTACGAATTTATTTTCTATTTATTCGACATTGTACTCGCGTGCAACAAAATAATTAGACTAAATAAAGCATGTAACATTTATTCTTAAAAGTATTGTGTATTAGTACTTTCGCGTAATTTTCGAAACCACATTCCACTGTGTCATTTGATACATTTTTTTCATACCGTCATTGTTTTAAAAAAGCATTTATGAATACAAGTCCATAACATAAAAACGAATTTTGCAACTGTTATTATAAGTAGATAAATTTTATCGTCAATGTCCTTGATAATGCATTTATCACGCATTCGTTATGTAAGAGATTAATAGAGTGTAAAGTAGGTCACGTGATATTACGAGCCTTGAATGGTTGGTGAAAGGCACTCGTTCGCACATGTCTACGGTATCTTTTAGATTTCTGTCGTAGGAGCCTGCGGTCGCGTTTTCATCTCGCGCTATTAAAAGATGTAAGTAATATTTAATAATATAGTTTATATATAGAAGAAAGTCCCCTATTATGAGATATCATCTGTTGGTTCCACCATGAATTTATTGCTGCCCTTGGCGTGAAGTCTGTTTATGGAAAATTGATTGTTAGATCGTGTAATCGTTGCGAAAAAAGATTTGCGATTGAATTTGGACGTTGAAAACCTATACTGTCTTATATTAGAATCCTATCCCATAATAGGATAGATAGGACTTTCCTCTCTATATATAAAATACGTTTCAATCACTCGGTATACCGAGACTATGGTATCTTATAAACACGTTTATAAAAGTGTTTTAATAAAATTTGAGGATAATCTCTATAAAATTTATTCTGTCAGTTGAAGCATTTTGTTCAAAGACAAAGCAGGTAAGCTTCGTTTCTGAATGAAATTGCTTTTCCTGAATTGTTTGCAAAGTTATCTTTGTAAAACTACATTTTTACCATCGGACATGAACGATTTCTCTAATGCATTTGTTCATACATTTTTATTTTTATTAGTACATTTAATTTAGTTAATGTATACATTTAATTTGCATGTAAAATTGTATTTAAACATCTGTGATCTTGTAACACTCGCATCTTCCAGATACAGTATGAAGCTATACAGCGTTTCGGACGGTCCACCGTCTCTTGCGTGTCAGCAGCTGTTGAAGACTTTGGATATTAAGTATGAATTGGTCAACGTGGATTTTGGGAAAGGCGAGCACATGACTAAGGAATACGAAAAGGTACATTTTAAAATGAAAAAGGAATAAATCGTATATTTTGAACATGTATACTAATACTGTATTCTTGCAGCTAAATCCACAAAAAGAGGTACCTACTCTTGTTGACGACGATCTTATAATGGGCGAAACGTAAGATATTAAAAGTACTTATTATCGATTACAAAAATTGAAGAGCTCTTTTCATTGTAAATGTAAGAATGAGTTTTCTTTCATTATAGACAATTATGTGCATGCGGAAGTATTAATCGTCACTTGTGGACAATTGTATCTCGCGTGCATGTAAATAGTGATACGATTCTAGCTATAAGACGGAAAAAAAGATGCGTGGTATAGATTTTATTTATAGCATCGTCCGACTTTTGCATAATTTATATCACCTTGTCACGTTGCAGCAACGCAATTTTACAATATTTAGCCGACCAGTATGATACGAGCGGTAAATTGTATCCGAAGGCACCGAAGTTGCGAGCGATTGTTAATCATCGTCTGTGTTTCAATTTAGCACTTTATTACCGCAACATCTCCGAATTTACCGTAAGTCCAATTGTCGATTGACCTCTCGTATTTTCGAATTTGTTGAACAAGCGTATTAAATTTATTCGTACTCGTACGTCGCAGTTGCAGCCGATATTTTTTGATTATCAACGCACGCCGTTGAGTCTTAAGAAAACGAAAATCGCACTGGATATCTTTAACACGTATTTGCAACGCGAAAACTCAGAGTATGCAGCAGGCAGTGAGTATGCATACACGCACACACAATTTTTTATTTCTTTTTATCCATTTGTTGTAAAATGGTAAGAAATTAATATTTTAAATTTTCAAATTGTCGAATAGACAACTTGACAATCGCCGATTTTCCGCTGATAACCGCGACGATGTGCCTGGAAGCCATCGACTTCAAATTGGACGCGTGGCCCTACGTGACGAAATGGTACGACAATTTCAAACGGAAACATCCTGATCTCTGGGAAATCGCGGCGGGTGGAATGCGGGAGATCAGTTATTTTGAGAAACATCCGCCCGATTTGTCCGGTATGGATCATCCAATACATCCGGTGCGCAAAAGCGCGTGAGAGAGTTTCTTGCGGGAGAATCGAGCAGTTTAGAACAGTTACAAACGCTGTTCTGAATATTGTAGATTTGCAGTTTCTTTAGCGTAATACGAAAAGAATGATAACAAAAGTGATATTTTTACTAAACTAGATATATTATTAACACAATCACATTCGTTCTCTCAATGTTTCCATAATATTCCTCTTGTATATTAACGTTAAACTAGAATCTCTATTACAACGTATCTTTACAATAAATATATTATAATTATTACGGCTACAACCGTCACGTGTTAATTTTTGTGTAATTGACAATATATGTACAAATGAAATAAATCTGTCGACATACATTCCGGCGTACTCTTAATCAAAATGTTGAAATTAATTGTGAAACTTGTAGGTGATATCTGTCAGAATTATGTACAAAATTGTATCTAGCAACACAAATAGATATAATTGTACTTATTGTAGATAATTCATGAAAAGTAACAATCGGTGTAAAATAATTCTATGAAAAAATGTCGTATGTAACACTTATAAAAATATATTTACGATCAATATATTTAGCACTTAATTTGTTTATAGAAGTTTACGTGTTACAGATATTCCTATTCGAGCTCGATGAGATTTTTATAATTTCATCATAAACAGATTCTAAGCTGATCACGAACCTTAATAATCCCCAAATTTTCGTTATGTTTACTTTGTGAAATTTAATGTAAACGTGGGAACGATATACATACATGTATATCGTAAATTGAGCTGTTACGTACCTAGTATTTCTGGCATAAAATGTCTGTCATTTTACAAACTATAGTCATCACAAATTTCGACACCTTTGAAGCATTACGTAAGTAAGAAGGACTTAGAGTAGAAATAAAATTATCAACCCTGTGATATTACACTAATTCTGTGGGATAAGAATATCACTATGAGACATTCGTATCAATTTGCAAATATGTATCGCGGTAAAACATCGTATCATTAATTTTCCTCACGATATTTGCTACAAATAACATCATACGGATCAACGATATCTTCGAAAACGAACAATATTTAGAGGTAATACTCTATTTCTGATTGTCTTTATGTATTATTCATATCCGTTTGTAATTTCCACTATATGACGATGCGTCGAGTATCGTGATATTTGTGAATAGCGTGAAAATGCTGAATGAAGATCTTGAGAGAGATCCAAATATTATTTTTAATATAGTTCGGTTCATTTGAAAACGTATTGAACCGGACAAGAGTTCTAATTTGCTGCCGATCTGTTTCTGATAGCACGCTATAACATCGAAAATTGAGTTTATCAATATTTTCGTGACTTCAAGTCGTGTTTATTTTTCAGGTCATACTAGCAAGTTTTCTGGCGAGTCTGTCTGTAATGGGATACATCTACAGAGAAGTTTTGCTGTTTTGCATGACTCTCATCGACCCGAAGTTTTCATGCTAAATTGAGCTACAGTTATCACATATACATACATTGATAATATGTACGTTAATATCGTGAATACCACAGAGACATCTCTGATACACCTAGATCCAATATGTGAATACTTTTGTAGCTTTTTAAATAATGATCGTGTAGTAAAAGAGTAGAAAATATCAACAGTAAGAGAGAAAATATCAACTATATTATTTTTGTTAATATATTTCTGCAAGATGTTCTTACGAGCTCTTCAAAGATTTCTTTATGCGATTTAAAATAAATCTTTTACTTTAAGTTAGTTTCAACCGCAGGTATCTCATTAAGATGCTTAATAAACTCACTAAGATGCTTAATCTTTTAAATAAATTAAGAAATTTAAGTAAGTACTTGATGAAAGTGTTGAGGACAGAGATTTTTTACTTACATTTGTTTACTTAAACTTACAATTAGTCTAATTGATTTTCTCATTTCTTTCCAGAGTTGATACTAGCCATAGTTAAATCAATTATAAATGGTTGAGATGATGATGGAACGGTACACCATTAATATACTTCAAGGTAGCCCTAAGGATTCAGAAGATTTAAAAGTTACCGAGAGAGATTAACTCTATTTTCTGGTCAAATTCGTGTTTATACGTTGACAATAACACTGGCTATCGAGCCATTGCCAATGAGGTTTGTGTAGCTCTGCCATAATCTCTTAATTATTGCTTCGTTTTTCCACGTGTTTAGTCACCGAACCCTGCCCGAGGGTGAGCGTAGGTGTGATTTTATGTAACCAGTTCGATAATCGATCACGTCGCGCGATGATCTATCTGACATGCCGTGCCTGTGTCTCCTGCTCCACCTGTAAACGAAAATTGTGTTATTTATGGTGATTCTAACAATCGTTAACTAAAAATCTCAATCAGCATGCAGAGAACGATTTGACGACTTGACGGGAAAGACGCGTGGAAACTTTCCAATATTGATATCCTTGATACTCTATTAATTACGACCCGCAGTCGCAATTTATTTTATTCGTAGAGCACAAAACAAGATAAATTTTAAAGTTCGGTAAACTTTGTTATTATACTTTGTTTAGCAGAGCAATTTAAATAATAAAAGACTATAAATTTATTATCATTACTAATTAAAAATACGAGAATATGTGACATTTCTTAAAGTGATGTAAATTCAAAAACTTGGAATTACGACCCTGTCTCTATTTCAAGCTTTTCAGTTGTACTATGTATTTGTAGAAAATCACCACGCGAAATCAAATTTATATTCAACGCAAAAAGTCACGGATATCCCATTATTACATGGAAATATCATTATGTAATTTTGTCACGCTTTACGAAAAACATTGCTGATCGAGTATATAGCAATTGATTTACATGGGATTGCCCGTCTCGTTTTGCAAGGTACACAATTAACAAACCGAACGACAACAGTTATCAGTACCATTAAATATCGAACAACAGGACACATGTCGCTATATGGTTCATTCCAAAACTTTATGTGGGACACACGGACGATATAATGTATACAATAAAAATAAAAATGACTTGGAACATTTACGAATACCTGCAACATTCACGGAACAGGATACTAAACAGATCACTATGAGCTAAGATAAGATAAGTAGATGCGAAGAATTTTACAAAGGCATTCCTCATCACACGCATATGCTTTCATATCGATATACAGGGTGTCTTTAAGATTCTTTTATTCGAAGTTGTATTTTTTAGAATATGAAGTACTTTTCAAATTATAAATAAGATATAAAGAATAGAGACTCTCAGCGATGTGATTTGAATGGACAAAGAACATCTTATTCTTCCCTTTATCTTACACGGCCTTTCATCTTTATCATTTCTTAGTGAAATATTTAATATTGAGAAAAAAGTAAAATATTCTAGAAGATACTCTTCAGATTGAATAATAATTAAACAAATAAAAGTGACGCTTCTCTAGAATACCCTGTATATACCCGCCATTAGCGTTTACGCTACGTTACATTAATCACTTAGGCGCTAGCTTGGATAGCAATATAACATTACGCAACTCAATGTTCAGCGCTTTCAAGATGATTTGCGACTGCTAACAACTCGCTAACAAAACCCTGCTCAATCACCCAGCATGTTTCGTACCTCGAGCGTTACAACAAGGTACAACAAAACTCTACACGGTGCTACTCGTCGCCAGCCAACTATCACGATCACGTTCGATTCGATCTTGATCTCCTCCCGCACCTGATTCCTACCTGATTTCTCTCTTACCGCGTCACGCGTGGCTTCGCCACCAGCCTGATCGTTCTCATACCTTGCTGTTGATTACGAGGATCATGCGAATAGCTGTTGCTGACGACGGTGGTGGTCGAGGTCGAGGTCGAAGTGATAGAGGTCGAGGTAGAAGGAAGGACACGGCGTGATTGGGTTTCGGAGGTCGAGCTGTATTGTTGGGGGTTGTTAACGTGTCGAAGTACGGCAGGCTGATTGTTGCTGCTGCTGCTATTGTTGTTGTTGTTGTTGCTGATTGGTAGCAGCGTCTGGCCATCTCCGTGCGCGGCGGAAACGCCGTAGCTCCGCAGGCGGTGCTGACGTTGCTGGAGAGACGTTCGGCGACCCCTAAGGATATTCCTGCTGCCGCGTTGCTGGCCGCCGCCTCCCGTGGTACTGCGTATATATATCAAGCCCGAGACTCTCATCAGTCGATCTCTCGATTATCTCCGTGCAAGGGTAGACACCTGCTTGTGGCTCCTCTCGACAGTATGTCTCGCAGCGCGGTGTGTCTCGTTGGTCTTTTTTTTTTTTAACATAATCGGGAGGGACTGTCGCGTGTTGCTTGAATATCTCGGTACCCGGATTCCCTTCTTACTTAAGGATTACGTTCCTCATGTGCTCGTATTAAGTCTCGACGGTCGAGGCAGGTCGGAGTGGAGGGCTCGGGCATCTCCGCGTCGTAGAAATTCAGCGATTCGCCGTTAAGCCAATCCATTAATTACATCATCGAACCATTCGATGTACACAGTGATATCATATCGGGCTGATTTTTAAGAGCAAAAGGACTATTTACAAAAAATTACATAATGTAAATTCTTTTCGTAATGATTGTTATATACACCGAGAACAATTTTTCTTAAAATTTATCCTAAAAATCACGTAATCGTAGGACAACATGGCATTTCGAAGAATTTTATGCGAGTTTTTGAAATTTTACTATACATTTTACTAATAGAATGTATGGTAAAATTTCAAAAAACTCTTAGAAAGTTCTTCAAAATGCCATGTGCCACAATTACATGATCTTCAGGGTAAATTTTTAGAGAAAAGTCTCTCCGTGCATGTGTACTTTATAATATAGTCTTCTTTATTTTGTAAGAAAGATCTAAGTTATTTTTCCAAAAATAATGTACATGATACCTACAACTTTTACTTCTGACGTTCTTCATTTTCAGAAATTATTTCAGAAAATATATTTTTTAATTTTTTATCTTTCTCTAAAAAAAATTACATAATAAATTCTTAAGTAGAAAAATTATGAAACTAGTTATTGTATACAAATGGCTTAACAACGCGAATATCGCAAGATTTCTATGACAATCGAATTACTAATTAATCAAATGAAATACTGGGTCGAACAAACAAGAGCACGTGACTAAATTATATATTGAGGGTAAAATAGTACACCGTTCCAGGATGCTTCACGAACACGACCGTGTTAAGGCAAGCAATCTCTTAAGATTTCCGAGGGCATTGACAGTATTAATCCTGAATTTAGTACGTGTCTTTATCGATCCAATTTTGAATAAGGGTTTGGACGAATAAAAACGGCTAATACAGACACATAATGCATCGAAGCTAACTGAATGATCAAAAGGAAAATAATATCGGGGGGAAAAGAAGCGTGAAGAAGAGGCATGCCGGTTGCGTTAAAAGGAAGATAAGCCAATGAGAAGTTAAGCCAAGCTTAAACGTATGCATGCAGAATGAAGAAAGTCGAAGAAATGTTATAAATCATGCGCCTATTGACATTTATACCGCTTGCCCTTTTACAGAAAATTCATCGCAAACAAATTAACAATTTCATAACGCTCCGAGATGTTTCGTATTCTTATAAATGTATTTATAATTCTTATTATTGAAATAAATAATAATTTGTCTGATATATAATACAATAATATAATAAAGCACAATTCTCATTATTCATAAACAAATTCATAAATTGGTTTTGATATTAAATATTTGCATGTTATAATCATTTTTGAAAAACGCTAAAATATGTATTTCTATTATATAAATTTAAAAAATGAGAGGTACTACATAAATAGCAAACTCACAATCGGTTCATTGAATATTTCAATTTTTGTGTGAGGCTACTTTTTGTATGTATAATTTTTCACTTATTTTGCTGCAATCTCACGGTGCTTGAATGATAAATTAAATAATTATTACGAAAAAGATGAATTTTCGGTAGGACCAGAGCAAGACGTATGGGATGTATTTTCTTACCTTGTACTGTGACTCATGAGGACTACGTTTCTGTAACAGCATATAATGGATCCTGATTGTTGGGAAGCGAGTGATGAAGTGATATCGATTTCAAAGACAATACAACAAGCAATTTAAGCAAGTTTAATCATTTATTTCCTAATCCATTTCTATCTAGACAGTTCAAATTCTCTAAGAGTCTAATATAGGTGTTTTATTTTTCCAAATTTTCGTTCAAAATGAACAAATATTGTAACTATTGTTGAGTATATTTTTTATAATTCTTAATAATAATAGAGGAAAATTAATATTATTGTATAATATAAAACCAAAAAACTATATAGTTTCCAAAAAATTGTCAATTAGTCTAAATAAAGGTGGATTTAAATCTTCAATTTTTAAAAATAAAATATAAAAATATTTTTACTAAAATTAATTTCTAAATTAATTTTTGTGTACTCGCGTTGTTTGCAGAATCGTATAAACAATATTATGTACAAGATTTACTTTAATTAAATAATACCGAAGTACTAAACAAGAGAAGTTAAAAGATTTATATTGATTAACATACTTCATAATTGTAATATATCTATACATATCACTAGTAATAGTCTTATGAGAAATTTAATATAAAATGTTCTAGCTTTTTATGCCGGTTACATTGTCATTATTAGTTTTATAATACTATAAAATATATTCACTTAATAATTTTTTAATATGTTGTATATTCCAGACATCCTATAGAATAGTATCAGTGCTAGTCCTTAATTTTTTTAATGTAAAGCGTGACAATGTGCGCGAGTTGCCTCTAAATGCGAAATAAAACCGCAATATGCTTCGACATAAATCGACGTAATCAGCTTCGTATCTACGCAGCGAAAGTATGATCTGAAAATGTCATCGCATGTAGGAATAACGGTAGCTGCGAAGCTGCGAAGTAAAGGCTGGTGAGACGCAAAACAAATTGTAAGAATTGTTTCAACGCAAGTCAAGATCGAAATTGAAGGATTTCCCAAACGAAAGACAATCGCAAACAATATAATGATAACTTATAAAAAATTCCTATCTTTTTATAACGATCGCGTTTGACCAAGTGCGCTCTCCGCGACGAAAGGGAAACTTTCCCGTAACCGTACGTTTTGCGAGGGCACATAAAGTTTTTCAGGAAACGTTCTATGTCACTTTACGAAAAGCGATTTGTAAAATATAATTTTATTACGCTTTGAAAAACTCGCAAGAACTAAGACAGTATAAAGGATAAATTTATAGATATATTATAGATAGATAAAGCACATCCTACTGAAGTGAGACTACGCGTTGCCTCTATTCTGGTGCCAAACAAGGTAAAAGACAACAGTCCGATATTGTTGCAAGAGTAAAGAAGATGTATAGAGAGATAGGCAAATCGTCCCGGACGGACGAAGAGTTCGCTAGAGAAACTAAAGACTAAAAGATAAATTAAATGAACTCCGAATTAAAAGTGCATACCATAGAAACGCGTTGTATATAGAAAACAGACTGAGAAAACATACCGGAGCAGTCTTGTTATGTAATCTGGCCAATTATCTGGGAACATGACGAGGAAGAAACCCACCGCGATGAAGATCATGCCTGCTAATTTCATGCCCATGAAGTACGCCCCGTAAAAAATAACGTCCAGTGCTGCAAATTAATATTAACGATTAGTGAGCAATACAATTATGAACTTATTAACGTTATATTTTAAAATTTATATTTTCAAATAAGAGATATGCTTCTATTTCTATCTCTATATCCTTTCTATAAATGCAGTCTTCGTTTTAGACGATTACTGGTACATTATTGAAAAGAGCCATCCCGAGTCGAGTATTTGGTCCCGGAATGAGCCTCAATTATCCTGTTCTGCTCTTCATTTGAACCTCGGAGTTGGTTTGAAACTCCAATTTGAGACCCAGATGAACAAAAAAAATTATGTTTAATGTCGTTCTAACCCTCAAAGAGAATGTAATACAATATTTCAGTCTTTTTGCAACTTCTCAGGCCGAAGAGGATCTACCAAACCTCTGCTAAACGAGAAATAGTGACTCTTTTCAGGCCTCTCTCTCTATCCGAGGTCACAAATTCAATATAGTTTCTCCGACACAGAGACCTTAGTTCTACCTCATTGCGATCCCACTTCAACAATTATACGAGGCTAAACTGAGGCCAAAATATTCAATTCGGGATTGGACGACTTGTGATTCATTCTTTTAAAATAAATGGTCGGTCGTTTTACTTACCGGCAGACACGGGAACAGCTGTTATTAATCCAAGAGTAATGAAAAGGTCGTAGGTGAGCGCGATGCTGAAATTGCCGAGCATATTCGCGACTGTGAACAAATCATCCGACGTACATTTCAGTTGTGAGTACAATTCTCGGTACTGAATAATAATCTCGGCGTAAAGTTCAGACCTAAATGGAGGATGCTGGCGGAGAGTAGTGCTGCCCATGGCAATCTCGCCCAGTTTATGGTTTCCACCCCGGAGAAGTACAGAGCCAGACAAATCGGCCACAACAGGGCGGCGTTGCACAAACCGATGAGAGAGAAAAACAAAGACATTTGGCCGAACGTAGTTTCTCCGATGACTTTCTTAAAGAGGACCTCAACAAGCAAGATATTCCGTTAAACATTTACCATCTCACATTTGCAATTGTAATACAAATCACGGGTGATATTACGCGCTTACTTTGTACACGGCAGAGCCAGCTGCCGCTGCTGTAGCTAAAACGACACCCCCCAACGTCGGACTCCCGGTTATGCCGTCCATATAAGCTAGGAGCGCGATGCCGGTGTTACAGAGGATCACTGCGACTATCTGTAAGTGATAAGTTAAACTCCCTGTTAAGCTTGATACAAAATTAACACCTTCCACTGTAAAGATGATAAAGAATGCATTTCAGCTGTGTATGTGAAGATATATAAATATTACATGCAAAAGATGTCTTTGAAACATTTTTCATTTGCAACACTATCTTTCTTTATTCCGTTAGTTGTGTAAACAGACTCAACATGTAGAGTTAATTTAATAAATAATATATTAGCACAAGTGACCTCAAATTTTATTAACATAGAATTGAAACTATTAGGCGATTTTTTACGACTGTTTGGTACATACACCAGAGTGTACACTCCGCGTCACGAATGCCTTTACACCTGAAGAAATAAACTAAAGAGATATCCAATGGGAGAATTTATTTTAATAAAATGAATTGCTCTATCGGAATATATTGAACTTAACAGCTATTTTCAGGTGTAAAAGCGTTCACGACGCCGAGTGTACACTCCGGCACACTTTGGTACATGCACCAAGGAATCGCCAAAAATCGCCTATTGTCGAGATAAAGATTGAACTGCTTTTTCCTGAAAGTACTGACCCTCACGCCCACGAATTGTTCGTGAAGAATAACCCACGAGAGCAGGTAGACGCATGAAACATTGGTTGCGAATAGCGCCATCACGTCCGTGGCTAGCAGTATCCTCAACGAGAGTATGTACAAGTAATTCGTGATGACCCACAAGCTGCAGAAGAGACTGCATCTGATCAAAAAGCGGCCGCCAGTGAAGCCCTTGTCGCGGAAACCGCGGAGGCTGTCGGCGATTATCTCCGAAGGGGTGGCGCACTTGGTCCTGGCAGCCCGACAGATGAAGTATACCGGGAAGTACAAGACTACCCAATTGGTGCAAAACCACGTCGTAAAGAAGGGCGCGTCGTACGGAAGGATGATCTGAGGATAATAATTATCGTAACGTCAACTGGCGCTTTTAGAGAGAAGAGAACCCTAGTAGCACAGTGAATTGACCAAACGTTGGCTCAACAGTGGCCCGATATTTGGTTGTATTGAGCCAATGTTTAGCCAATGCACTGTGCTACTAACCCAGCAAACACCAAAGTAACAATTACATAACATCAATGCAAATGTAATATAACAGGCATGTGTTATATTACATTTATATTGATGTTATGTTGTCCAAACTGTTACTTTGGTGTTTGCTGGGAAGGAAAGGGAGAGGAAGCTCGAAGCTCACATGTTGATGATGGAGTCCGCTCACGGAGGAATTTGCGGACTCGGACGTTTCCGAGATCTTGTCTGGCTTATGAAAATACAAATACTTGATGCAATGAGTCGCTCCGACCCAACTCGCGGTCACGCATATCGTCACGCACACCCCGAAATATATCTGCAATTATAAGAATAATCCTGAAGGACACCGTGTGACGCAGAAGTCTGATACAAATAACTATCGTAGATCTCAATACACGGTTTTGTGTATACAGGCGCAATACTTTTAGTCTCTTCCACTGGCCTGTTTCAAATATTAGATAAAATATAATCAGATTAGATTACATGCAATTTTAATGTAAATAAATAAGAGTCTTACAAGTGGCGAATAGTAGTTGAAATAAAATGTAGTTTAAACGATACGCTACCCTGTTTAAATAGACAGAATATCGTCCGATTACATTAGATTACATGCAATTTCAATGTAAATTAATAATTAATTTTCGCTGAAAAGCGTTTCGTTTAAATCTACATTTAATTTCATCTGCTATTCGCGACTTCAGATTCAAGTTGGAGATGCAGTCGACCTTCTTTGCGCTTTCCGCGCAGCAGGAGGCGAGGCAGGCTGAAAACGAGCTCGGTTGCTGCTGAACGACCGGGGCTGAGGTCACATGAGTCGACGAGTGAGTCTGGCCTGTCGGTTGCAAACCGCCGGTCCCGGTGTCGCCGCCGCCGCCGCCGCCGCCGCTTCCTACGGCACTTCCGGTGGCCTCCAGGGTGCGATAACTCGACCCGGAATCGCCGCATCTGTCGGCGACGTTGTAACCCTGCTGCTGCTGCTGCTCGCATCCTGAAATATAAGGACGTTCTTGCCGAATCTTCGTCTCACGGTGTTTCTCGGTGCGACGAAGATACCTTCATTTGAATTTATTCGTGCGTAAGGAAAATTTTTTAACACTGTGTGTGTCAACTGCTGTCTATAGACCGTCGTGGATCGCCTGAGACAATAGGAAGAAATCTATTTTCAACGGGATGACATTTATTTTTAACTGGCTACTATTCGAATGACAGCTGTGTAAAATGTGCGTGTGTTTTTGATACGTGTAAAGTGATACGACGTGTGCGGCTTTTCTTAAGCGTGTCTTGATTTGGAAATTTTGCAGTTTCGCTTGGGTGGAACGTGCTCGGCAAATTTATATGCGCAGCTAATCATGCGAGCGCTTTAATAATGCAAAAGTACTGATACTAAAAACTAATACTAAAGAGCTGATACAGGCTTCTCTAGATTTCTAACTTGTTCTCTTTTCTTAGGTGTAAACGTATATTATAGATACTACGCAATAAATCCATCGTTGCTAGATCTGTTGCATTCCCCAATCAATATCGAAATGCGATTGTCGACGATCACACACTATACGGGATATCAAAAAACCCACTATATCTCCTTCCAGCCACAGGTTCGACACCACGTCAGACAAACCGGGAAATTTTCTTTGGAAAAAATTTGAAATTATTCATTTCTATATTCCCAACGTCCACAAGAGTGATTTCGCAATTAGATCAGGACTGCGCTGTGATGGCAGCTGATTAAGGAGTCGGCGTGAAATTTCATTTTGCTTTGAAAATCTTGCGTGAAATTTTATCCGAGATTAGAATGAAATTCGCCGCAGCCTTTCTGTTAATCTCCAAAATCCCGAGTAATTGTTCGCAACGACAGTTCATCAACGGATCATCACTTTCGTTGGCTTCGTCGGCCCCAGTGACTGCGACTGAAAGGACACTCGAGGAAGAGAGTAGGGGTTGAACACAATCTACACAATCAACGCGCAAATTTACCTGAAGCGTGGAGCGCAATCTGGATGGGAGTGATGAACGGACCGTGGGTCTGCTGATCTTCGACGAAGGCTATATTCGACGTACGCGATCGTCGGGGGTGAAATATCGTTGGTACTTCACCAACTCCTCCGCTACCCATGGCTTAAGCGCGCTCTTTGAAACATGTCATTAGAGAGAGATTTGCGTACGACGCACGGGCTACATCAATTTCAGACCGACCCATGTGAAGCACCTGGTGCACACCGCGACTTCCCTACGGTCACCCTCTCGAAAAGGATTTCTGATAACAAGACAAACAATCGCTGTCTCGCGTGGTAAAAAAGTTAAGCGATGTTAAGATTAGATCAACGATTCCTTCTTTCTTGAATTAAATAGATAAACAACGTCAGTGTTTTCTTGACCATATCTGGCATTTTTAATAATGCAGAAAATTTATTGCGAAAAATATTACCTCAGCCAGGGTTTGAACCTGGATCTCCCTACACTCTCGACCACTGAGGCCTCGAATTGCTGAGACGCCCGCCTAGAGTGTAGGGAAGTCTAGGTTGAAACCCTGGCTGAGGTAATACTTTTCGCAATAAATTTTCTGCATTATTAAAAATGGCAGATATGGTCAGGAAAACACCGACGTTGTTAATTACTGCTGGCGACATTTAAGGATATTCTTATTAGTTAATTAAATAAAATGGACTCACTGTGACAAAGGGTAACATTTATAAATTTAAGCTTATATTGTATGCAGGGTTAGGCAGTAACTCGTTACTTAACTTCGTTACTTTCTCTCCATCTGTAACTGTAACTTAATTCAGCTACATTAATAGTTACTTTATATATTTTTTTTTAAACATCCACAGATTGCATTAAGCCTTGCATTTGCGCACAAACGCCTTTACCGACGCTTCACCATTCAAATGCGGATTTGATATTTTTATTTTCATTGCAAGAAAGTCACTGCAAAGTAACGATTCGTTACTTTTCAGAATTGGTAACATGTAACTGTGACTAGTTACACTTTTGGCGAAAAAGCTGTAGCTGTAACTAGACATTTTTATAAGGTAACTTTCCCAACCCTGATTATGTGTACATTCTTGCGTCTAGAATAAATCTTCTCTCGATGTGTTATAACGCGCGCGCCAATATCATTTTATTCTATATTTAAGAATTTTCCGTTTCAGATTAAAATATTTCCTTTCTTAATAATAAGTACGATTGTCGCGACGTCGAGCCTATTTTAATTTTATGGCAGATCGAGGCGTAATGGATCCGGAAACCCTTTCCGCGGGTGTACTTGTTGATCTTCCGACATGCTTGCGAGCGTGCACCAGCGTTCACCAAACGCTCCGGCGTTCACCAGGGTCGCCTCGCACATGCAACGCCCACATCCAGAGCCCCGTTCCCTCTCGTTACAACAATCCGACAGGTTTCAGCGATAGTAAAGAAAATTGCTCCGCTCGTTGAACGATACGTTAACGCCGCATGGTCGTGACGCGAGGCCTCGTGAGAGGTCGAGGGGTGTGTAATTTTGATAAGAGAAAAAATGCCCGACGTTACGAGCACACCGCTCGTTTTGTGTATCGATTCGACGCGGACAAACACGGAGGCCACTTCCGCGCGCCCTTCGATATCTGATCTCGGCAAAACAAAGTCAGCCGGCTGAGACGAAATCAATTCCGATGTGCTCGGAAGTCGGCGTTACGTGTATACGACAGTTATGAAGTACACTTGCACACAAGTGTTTGTACAATTGAGCCGCGCGCGGATCCCCGAGTCCTGAAATGAAGCGAGCAAATTGCGTTTCAGCTAGCGGCGTTAAGGTGTCAGAAATTAATTACGGCAAGTTCTCGGCACAGGATAAGCACACGAATTCTTTTTTACATTGCGCTCTCTATATTGTCATTGCGAGCATTGTCAGCACAATTACCAAGAGCGCGAGATTAGCATAATTTACAAAAGGCAGATTTCGGATGAGGGCATGCAAATATCGGCGGATCGCTCTATCCAATCGTCGCACAGCGCATCAGCAAACTACTTCGGCAGCGAGCCTAAATAGCACGGGAGATCGTTACACAGAAAAAAAGAATATTCTTCTTTGGCAAATATGTTTAGTTTCAACGTGAAAATCTTGAAATGAGATTAAAGGAAGAAAAACTTACTTGAATTAAGCAATTGTACATAATTCAATCAAGAAAAATATATATGCCTATTATTTAAGAATAATTTTCTTGACCGGAAAGGAAACAACGTTGGATAGAAAATAACGTACTTTCAAGTCGAAGATTATAGTAATTAAATTATTTTATTGTCAAAATAGTTACAGAGAAAAGTCCCCTGTTATAAGATTGGCTTCTAATATGAGATAGCGGGCTTTCAACATCCAATTTTACAAATTTTTATGCAACGATTATATTATATTATCCCAGATAGCACAAGACACTAGCATTTTGAGAATACTCTTCAAGAATATTTGGAATATTCCATTGCTCATTCTTATACATTTATCTTACGTTCGTAGAACATTTGATTTACACTACTATAAATCTTTTTCGAATGCGAATAGACTAATCTGTCGAATATAGCGTGTCGGTTATACATGGTGTGATCACAGGTTTCACTGCCTTTTGCATAAGATAAATGTATTACACACTAAACAATGTGCAATACATAAACTCGATGAACATTAACAAATTATTCTGAACGAATGTTCCAAAGACATTCTCGGCGAATACTCTAAAAGCGTTCTTCTTTGTTACGAATATACCACTTCTAATTGTAATAATCTATACATGTATTTATAGAATATTCGATTGGACTATTCTGAAATTAAGAATATTTGCGCTGCAGAAGAATATTCATTATAGGACTATGTGTGCTGTCTGGGATGCGCGGTCTAATAATGAATTTTCCATCGAACAGAGACTTCGCTCCAAGGGCAACGAATTCATGGTGGAATCAACGGATGATGCCTTTTTAATTAAGCAGAAACCGCGCTATCTCATTTTCAGAGCATGTCTTATAATAGAGGACTCTCCTCTATGTATTCTTGAAGTGACACAGTACGCGTTAATTTGAGTATATAAGAGTTGATCCGACAATTTTTTTTCTGTGTATGAGCTCAAAGAGGATTTTTTAAACTTCTTAAGATTTAGCGTAATCTGTTGAAAGTGAACTCCAAAAGAATTCCTTTGCGTCCGAAAAACAGCTGAGAAACGTAGAAACGACCTTCTATTTGAACTCTTGAGAATATTTTTTTAGAACAGAGAAGAAATGAGATGGGAAAAGAAATTCATAATTGGGGAATTCGAGAAGAATTCCTTTCGGTCTCTCTGCACTATCTGGAGAGGAACGCTCGAAACTGAGCTCTCCGAGCCAAGCGAAAGATTTCGCTAACAATTCTCGCTGTCAAATTAGTCGTTGAAGTTCGCTTGGAAAGTAGCTCGGCGTCAGCTGTTGATGAAAATTCGACAAGATATAAAACACTGATATTAATTTGAGCAAGAATCTCGAGATTGCACGCTGCTGCGTTGTAAACAAAGGAATCGCCCCGTCGCCGACGCGATAATTGACAGCGACGATTACGAGGCAACGCCACTGGTCGTGAGAGAGTCGCGTGCCCACTCCCGGATTTCATTGAGCCCGAGTGGACGACCCGACAGCGAAAACGTACGTCGCACGTACCTTCCTTACGCTTCTCCTCCGAATTCGCGTCGCTTTCGGGTCGCGTATCCATGGCTCATGATCCACCCGGTGATCCGACCGGACTCCTCGCGCTCGGCTGGTCGATTTGTCACGGAGTGCCCGACGTCACAACGACATCGCCCTGTGCTAGCGGATCGCGGACTCTCGATCGAGATTCCCCTTGGTTCCGCTCGTCGATCGGCGTTACTCAATAACGTCACCTCCGCCTCGCGGCGTAATTAATTAGCCCGAGGTGACAGCCGCCCCATCGCCGTCTCAGAAGCACGTAGCGCGGCTTGCGATCCCATTCTTGGTGGATTCGCAGGTCGCGAGAGTTCGCGCTGTATTCGGCGCGCGGAGATCCTCGGGGCCGTCGCACACCCCGAAGGGAGAGGGTGAGAAACGGTTGGTCTCTGCGCGCACTGTGCACGGACTGTGGTCAAAGGGGACTTGGTCTCGAGCATTCTGCCATGCCATTGATTGCCAGGCCAGTCTCATAAGAATTCTGTTAGCTCACTGGGCAGCTCGCGTCTGCGCCTGTACCGCCCGCAACCACCTTCGCCCGTCCGGTTGCGCCCCTCTGGTTGCAGCTACTAGGCTTAGTCACTACATACCGGGTGTCCCCGGAATCATCTTGAGCGGGAACGTGAAAACGAGTACGAAGGCTCTAAAACACGGGGGGCTACAGACACTAATATTATGTAAAATTTGTCTCATTTCTGGTCGATTTGTCAATGTAATGTTTGCCTTGTATCGTAACCAATGAAAGTGTCCTACTGAAGGTGTCTTTTTTTCAATATAACTGGAAACTTATCTTTTACAAATGGCAAATATTTAATTCTCGAAAGTAAATTTTATTTAAAAAATGGATTTTCATAACAGAAAATATTTATTTCGGGTCATAATGAGAAAGAGAGTCCGTCCAATAATTTCACTGCGAAACCGTGGTCTAAATAATAGAATGATACATTTTTTAAATTGTATAATTGACACTTATTTGTATGTGTAATCAATGTTTAGCTTTCAAAAACATAATGTTTTTATGGGCTTTGAAGGATTAAATAACGTTTAGATCATTTTGCATATAATTTTCTATGCGATTCCTAAAAGATCCCTTCAAATAAGTCAGCCTTGCCTCTTAGTGTTTGCATATCTAGAGGAAAGTCCTCTATTAAGAAATAAAATCCTAATATGGCATACCGAGATTTCTGTTAAATTAATAGAGAAAAGTCCCCTATAATGAGATAGGATATAAAAGGTAGCGGGGTTTCTACTACATTAACCGGCATCATCTGTTGGTTTCACTGTGAATTTATTGCTCCTGGAGTGAAATCTGTTGAATAAAAAAAATTCCTTGGTAGATTGTGTATGTAATAATTGCGAAATGGGATTTGTGATTGAATTTGGATGTTGAAAACCTGCTATCTCATATTAGAAAGCTATCTCGTAATATAATAACTATTAAGTTGACTTTTCTCTGCTGAGTAAAAGTGGCCTTCGTATTTCATGAAATAAAATAAATTCCACACAGAAATTCTAACCGTTCTTTCCCGGCCATTAAAATTAAAGTAAGAATACTTATTCGCTGTATAACATGAGAACTTGTAATTTTAATTGCAAAAGAAAAATTTTCCAATTGTGATACCTGTATGCCGGTTACTATTATTAAAATGGCGAAAGGGCATCACGCTATCGTTAAATCACACGTCGTTATTTTATTTCTTCATTTTTATATGATTATATTATATTTACAATAATTTGAAATTGATGCAGCATATGCGCAATATGGATTACATAATTGACGGTATATTAATACGAAACCACTCTCTGTTCGCTCGCACTGTATTCCACGTATCGCAAGTATTCTCTACACTCTCAGTTCCTTAGTTTCTACATTTCTATTTTGCGTGACTGACTCGGAAGGAACTTTTTCTTATACATATTCATAAAGCGTAATACCGCTCACTCAATGTCATATAATATCGCATGATTCACAGCGAGATAAGAAAAAAAAACGTTATATTACGCGAGGGCTGAGGGCTGCCGGGAACTTGAGGTGTTTTTGATACAAGGGAAAAATAATCGACGAGTGTAGCTGGAAAAATATTTTATTCTGTATTTTCTGAAATAAAAGATTCAATTAATTCTAAGTGACGTAGGAAACACACCTCACTGATATTATTTCATTTTTTATATCATTGTTACGCCTACGTCTAAGTAGGAAGTATGTGATAGTCTTGCTTTTTTTTTGCTTTGTAAAGAAGGTATAAATACAAATACACTTAGGTATATAAATAGGTACATTCATACACACAATACGTTTGCGCGGTAAATTACAGATGGTTGAACATTTCAATAATAATATAATACACAAAATCGTACTTACTCTACAAAATATAGGAATTGTGTGAAAATTATATTTTTTCCAATAAAAAGAAAGTTGAAGTTAATATTTCAATCTCGATTATTTGTAATTATAATCTAGAATTATTCTTGATGCAATGCAAAATACAAAAAAGAAGAATGTTAATAAATTCAAATTAATTAAAGAGTTATAGTATATGAATACCGAATTATATATTATTATCAAAACTAATAAATTATTAATAAATTACTCCCATCTGTATTTACCTATGACAAAAATTAAATCAATGAATTTAATAATTATTAACAATTAGAATCATGATTTAATCGCAGTTATATCACAGAATAACACAGACGTTGAAATTGAATGTAATTGCCATATAATATGTGAACATTTGTCCTAAATTTCATATCAAGTGTAAAAATTGAAAGGGCAAACAACAGCAAAACATTATTTTAAGATGTGCCGTTACAATTAATATAATGTATATCGTGTAAATTATTCGCAATATAATGTGTACAAAATATTTCTATATATAAAATGTACGTCATAGTTAAATGTTTCAGAAAAACTTTTCCATACATAGGATTATGCTATGAATGTAATACCATTTTTGATAATATGTCCTTCAAATATTAAAGATATTACGCATAACTGTCTGTGTTATTCTAAGATAACACGCGTAAGGGAAGCTATGAAAATCCCTCCAAGTATCACATAACATTTATGCTGATTAAGGATTATAATTCCTTTTCAGTCTTTCATTATATTACTAGCTATAAAAATATTATACAACTCTCAGAGTTGATTTCACAGATTTACACACATATGATGTGTAAATAAAATGATAAAAACGTTTGTTTTGGCCGGCGCGCATATAGCATAAACGCGTTCACTAATTAAGCGTATTAAAAAAAAGTTTACATCTTTTTAATTAAATATAAATAAAGGCACGCATGTAATTATCAATATTATAACCCTTCTATATACATATATATTTATACATATATATTCATATACACACACATATATACAATATACAGGGTGTAATATAATTCGCGCTCACAACTTATATGTCTGTTACATTTTTGTCAAACCATGCTTTATAAAATAGTTATTAAATAAAGATTAGTTAATCAGCATCGCTTTTTAAACGGATACACGACAAACACCGCTAGGACGCGCGGCTCACGATCGTGCGTCCGTTTAAAAAGTGATACTGATTTGGCGAATTTTTAATTAATAATAACTACTTTATAAAGCGTAATTCGAAACTTTTCGACTCAGTTTTTCATGAGGAGTATCACTGTATAAATTGTGGACACGAACTAGATTACACCCTGTATATATGTATGTATATATGTATATGTTATCTAAAAATCTAATATTATATTCCTATCGGTATTCATAAAACATTTTTAGAGAAAAAAAATGTTATAAATGTAATATTATTTTTTATTGACGTAAAAGCAGCGTTTACACCTTCATAGATACTATGAGGTATTCAGCTTGGTATACGAACATCATTTTCAAAGTAGACTGAGTTTATGTACATAGCTGTACAATAACCCAAAAAGGTTCACGCACACTGGCTATACATATAATGATGCATATTATGTCCTAATTATTAATATGGAAATATAATTAAAAACAACGGTACATATTATTTTGCGGCCGTTAATTAAATACAGTTATGTAAAATACATTAAGTAGAGTTGTATCTTCCTCAAAAGATACAATAGAAAATATTTAACAAGAACATTTACAGTAATTTGCCGCTGAATATATGAAAGTCGTGTACACAATTTTAAAGAACTAATATACTACATTATGCAGCATAAAATAAATGTAAAAAAAACCAGTTATTTTAACCGTTAATTTAATACCGTAATAAATTTCTTAGTTGCAAAATAGAATGGGCACACATACACAATACAGTGTAATATCGATTTACACATTAGATCAGATCTTAACATTTACAGTTTGCTTTAAAAATACGTCGCGTAGCAAATAAATTGTAACAAGAGTTGCATTAGTTAATATAATATTTTGTACAAGATACTTGGTGCCGCAATATCGTTAACCGAATTTACAAGCTATACTACACATTCTTATTAGTTTCATCGATATTAAGCACTATATACAATTAAAATATGCCTATACATTACTATTTTCATATAAAATATGCTTAGGTTTTTTTAAAAGGTAGCTTTGGGATTATTAATGATTCTTGTTTATTAAGTGTGCGATCAAAGTAGATTATGTACACATTCTTCAACACAATAAATGATTTAATATAATCACACGTAATCAACTTTTCCTAAGCAATGTATAATGATAAATAAATCGAGTACATCTAAGTCGTAAGGTATCGAAATTTAGATTCTCAAGTATTATTAATTTCATTAAAAATATTATTGTACTTTATAAGTGAAAAGAAAAGGGAGGTGCCTCATTTCAACTGAGATAACGTAGCCGTTAATCCGCGCATCTTCCTATGTGTCGACAACATAATGAGCGGTAAGATATGTGAACCGCTTTTCTCTCTTCATACAAATATGCAATCGGATGAACGCGTATTTATTTTATTCCTAAACAAAAAACAGATCATCTTTATTTTCTATTGATTTCTCTACGGAGTTTATACAGAATAACGCGATACTAAAATATAAAATATTTTTGAAAAAAATCTCACATAGTGATTTTTTTTCTCCTAATAGTATTTTTATCAAAATCTATATCTACGTCACGAAAACATGCTTTTCATTCCCTTAATAAAATTCAATAATGCAAATTATCTCGCGCCATTTATACTGTTTTCTCGTTATTATTGAAAGGCACGCAATATTGTTCTTTAGATAATTTCACATAACTTTGTTGGAAAATTTTTTATGATAATATGTCACTCGATAGTTTCTAACGAAAAAAATATTGTCCGCCTAATAAATAAAAAGTAATCTCAATTAAAATGTCAACTTTTCTCGTTAATAAGCACATTAAAAAATTCTATTCGTCAATTCAATTCATTAATTCAATTATAACAGTTAACTATTTCAAATTACATCAGATTGCATTGTTTTAATTTATTAAATTATAACAAATTATAGAGCATAATTTAAAGATTTCATTATTTGATATCTTTCAATCGTCATTCTATTGTGATCAATAAAAATATGAACAATATTTCAAGATGTATCTGTCGTATACTTAGCTTGATAGTATCACAAAATATCACACTACTTATAAATCTAAAGTAGAGATATAAAGCCATACTTTACACTACAAAATATATTCAGGATCTTTTAGAGACAAATGATTTTTGTGCTTTACCTTACGACCCTGTCTCTTGGTTGCTTTTCGAGTAACCTTGGACTCTCTGGACTCTTGCACTTGCTTATTGAGTCCCAATCTGAGACGCACAGGTACCTTCGAATCAAGAGTAGTTTCGTCTGCAAAGGAAAAATAAGAACATAACACTTTGTCAAAAATTTATTTTATTTTTAACTTTTCTTATGTATTTTCTTCACGTTTCTGAATTTTTCTCTTCGTAAATTTACAGGGTGTCCCGACGTAAGAGTGACCTACCGAAAGATAGATTGGGATTAAACCGAAAAATTACGTACCATTTTGTAATATTTGCAATAGTTATGGAGTAATTAATTCAAATGTCTGAGTGAGTGAACGCGTAGAAAGCGGACATGTAGCCTATCTAATATTATTTATAATATCTAACAATGGTCAGCATCATCTGAGGCTCGCCATTCGCTGCGTGACAATTTTTTTCGAGCACAGTATCATATGTCGTGCGTTGTTTCATATTTTCCATTAGATAAGGGAGATCTAATAAATAAGTTATCTCACATGCCTACCGAGTCCAGCCTATCGTATTCTACGCACTTATTCGCTCAAAATTAGTTTGAATTAATTACTCGATAACTATTGCGAATTTTAGAAAATGGTATATAACTGTTTTTTTGATCTAATCTATCTCCATTTTTTGGTTGATCGCTCTTACCTCGAACACCCTGCATACATATAAGAAAAAGATAATAGAACTTATAATTGTTTCAACAACAAAAGATTTTAAATAATTTGACAGTATTAAGACGGTATAAGTTAAAATTAACAAAAATGCTATATTTAAAATTTGTAAGAATTCTATATCTTTGTAATTGTAAACATTTTTTTCTGTATTTAATACATATATCTTAAAGATATATAAATACCTTCAGAATCATGTAACTCAGTTAATGTTCTGTGTAGTACAGTAACTCGTCTAACTTCCTTTTGATTAGCTAGATAAAAAGAGAAACATTCATCGTTAGAAGCAGTTTGGTCGTGAGAAAGAAAGGGGAAAAAAAGTTAACTGAAATATATGTATAAAACTAATGCTAAATATTTATTCATACTTACGTTTCTCATCAGTATTAATGATATGCCTCTGATTGGTTTTTGCATTATTTTTCACAGCTCTGTAAAGAAACGTGAAACTAAAATAAGTAACATCTATAAAAGAGAAAATAACAATACAATATGATATCGTGCTGTTACTTACTCATTAACTACACCTTTAAAAGCTGACTGCACCAATCTGGCGGACTGAATCGGCACTGTTCTGTTCAATCTTTCCGCTCGTCTTCTGCTAAGTTCCGTTCGTAAGTCTCCTTCTTCGTCTATGGTTATATCTTCAAATATAGCATCCACGTCTGGTTCGGCGGCTACATCTTTACGCTTTTTACACTTCTTGTCCTTTCCGATGCGTTCGGAAAGCGGTAGTTCGTTCTTCAATTTTCCTACTTGATACAATTCCTTGTCACGCTTCTTCTTTTTCTTGGAAGGTTTTTCTTTCTCCGTTTTTTGTGGCTCTGTATCTATACATGTGGTTATAGCACTTGTAAAAGCGCCCGGCGATGTGTTTTCCATCGCTTCCTCACACTCTTCAAGCTCGTAATCTACTTCTAAACATAAATCCACCTCCTGAACATCATACTCCTCCACAGCTTTATTTACTCTCCTTGCGCCACTTAACTGAATTTCCGTTTCTTCTGAAGACTCCACTTTCGTATTTGTGGTGTGTTTTTTGGATAATTTAATCTTTTTATTGGCATTTACAGGATCGATAGGCTGTGTAGACTCAAACTTCTTTCTCCTTGCCTCTAAGACAGGATCACTAATCGTATCAACAGGTTCCTTCGCTACTTCCGTTGCTGGTCTTTCATATACTTCATCTTTCTGCTTTGCTTTTGTTCTGGGCATCTCTGGCGTTGTTGTACCTTTGAAAATAGGAGACGGTTCTCTCATATATCCATCTCGATTATCTGGAGTGACTGAACGTGGACCGTGCTTTCTGGGCAATTCCTTGGGTGACCATTTCGGGGATCGCTTCCGTCGTGGTGAGAGACGGGGCGAATGTCTCGGGGACGACCACGGTGACCTGTGCGGTGAAAGTCGCGGTGATCTCAATCGAGGTGATGTTCTACGCGGTGATGTTCTACGCGGTGATGTTCTACGCGGTGATGCTTTTGGCGATCGCAAGCGGGACGATCCTCTCCGGGGAGAAGACAAGCCGGGAGACCTGGATCTGGACCGTAATCGACGTGGCGACACTCTTCTCGGGGATAATCTAGGTGATTTGGATCTGGGAGACCTAAGCGGCGGTGAATACCTCGGCGACCTCGATCTCGACAATCGTGGCGTTCTGGAGCGCGATATCTTGGGCGAACGCGGCCTTGGAGACTTGGATCGTCTCGGTGATCTCGATCTGTACGGTCGGGGCGATCTGGAGCGCGACGAGAGCTTGGGCGATCTGCCCCTCGGTGATAATTTCCTGAGCGGTGATCTCTTCGTAGACGTCCTGTTTGGGGATCTGCGCGGCGAGAGTCTGGGTGATCTAGACCTAGGGGAGTATCGTGACAATGGAGGTGATCTATATCGCGCCGACGTTTCTCGCGGTGACTTTTTCAGTTGTCTGATCGGGGATCTTCTGGGAGATCTTCTTGGCGATTTCTTGCGCGGTCGCGACCTTGGAGACAACGATCTGCGCTTTTGACTAATTCGGCTTATCGCGTGTGGAGAGACCGATCTTCGGTCGTTCTTGACAATTGTAGTCAGGGAGGTAGTAACGTTGTTCCTTTCCTTCTTACCGTAGCTGTCGTCCGTTCTCGTCTTCTGATCTACACTCTTACTTCCCTCGTCACCCTTCACTGTAGCCTTAGCTTCGCCCTTATGCAATTTCTTCTCTCTCTTATCAGACAACTTAGTTTCATCGTTCATTTCCTTTTCCATCTCGTCCATTAAACGCTCTAAACTATCTTCTTCCTCGAGATCAGCCATTAAAAGTATGTCGTCATCGTCGTCGTTACCATCTTCTTCTTCGTCACCGTTCTTTTGCTGACTCTCTGTAGTTTCCTCCTGACTCTCGGCTTTTACCGAAAATTCGACCGCTTCCTCTTTCGTTATAACTTCCGTCTTTATAAAGCTCACAGCGCTCTTCTGCTCCTTTACATCCTCTTCCTCAGAGGCGCTTCCGCTGTCTTTGAAACGATGGAATTTCGATACTTCTGCAATTACATACATTCTCGAGATAAGAAAGAAATGCGCTTGTCAACGTCGCTGTTTAGTGCATTTTCATTCTGAAAAGAAAAGAAGCTTACCTTGAGGGTACGATTCTACACATGGCTCAGTCTTATCTACGGAGCAAGTCAATTGGGCTTGTTGAAGTGGAGAAGGTTCATCCACAGGAACTATCGCTATCAAGTTTGGATTACGAGGGCTCTGATAATACACATTCTGCAAATATGAAACAGATATAACTGAGATGTATAACTAGAAATAATGATTCATAAATTGTATAAACTTCGTATGCAATATCGTGGAAACTTCTCAGAAGGTCTGTTCAAATATATTTTGACTCGTAAGGCACGACACACGCAGTAATTTCTTCTGAATCCACGTGTGTGAAATTGTTGTCGCGATTAATTACAAACAGCATCTATAAATAAAAAGCTTACGCCATTCTGCCTCTGTTGCACCCTGTTGTGATAGCAATTCTTTTTCATAGGCCGCTGATTTTTATACGAGAAACGGGACGACTGCGTTATTTGCGGTTGTACTTTCTGCACCTGCGAAAGCGCCGGCCTCTTATGCGTGGCATCCTTTGTTCGTAGCGACTTGAGCGCTGCCAACCTCAGTGCTTCCACATCCTCGTCGTCGTCGTCGTCGATTTTGACTTTTGATTGTTGAGAAACTACGACCATCTAGCGAAGAGAAAATAATGGATAAAATTTTATGCGGAACATTATGCATTGCAACCGAGACGATGCAAAATGACATTAGGTCTTTGAAGCGTTCACAACCGCAGACTCTGCGCGAGGAGCAAACAGATTTTTGCAAAATGCGCGAACAACCGCTTTATCTCGCTGTCGAATACATTTCTATATTGTCCAAGTTTCAGATTTCGCCGGGATTTTATTGGAGTTCGACTTCGATTTTCCTCAATCGAAGTTCGGTCGATGAAAAAGGACGAAAACGTGGTTCTTTCTAATGCACGTTCGTTACGTATTCGAACCGGTTTTGCTGGTGCGGCTTACCTTTTGGCGATGGTCCATCTTATCTAGAAGAGTGCTGGGAAGAACGTTGCAGCGTTCACGGACGACCACCACGGTCGAGCGTTCGCACGAATAGCCCGTCACCCCTTCACGCCAAATGTACGCGAAAATGTCGCGCGTCGCACGCACCAACGGTTCGCATCACACACATATTGCGAGGCAACACATTTCCCTGACGAACTTGGCTATTACGAATCTATCGCACAATCCACTCCGCTGCTCCACACACATATAAATAAAAATGGCGTGTGTGAAGCTCGTAGAACATAGACCGTGAGGATACTAGAGTGCTATAATCAGAGAACGAGCCAGGCCCGAGCGGCTTCTTATTGGCTGTCGAAGTCAGCCAATAAAATGTGGCTTCTTCTTCTTCTTCTAAAGGCCTGTGTCCACGATGCTAGAACTTGGTCCAAGTTCTAGTTTCGAGAAACGTGTAGCCAATCAACTTGCAGCTTTTATGGAATTGAACTTTGACCAATGAGAGTTAAAGTTACTAAACTTGAGATTAATAAACTTAAAGCCCGTATTAGATAATATTAAATAGTTAGATAATATTAGATAATTAGATAATATTAGATTATGTTAGATAATTAGATAATGTTAGATAATATTAGATAGTTAGATAATATTAGATAGATAAGCCCAAATTAGATTGAAATTTGACCAATCTGAGTAAAAGTTACTGAACTTGAGATTAATAAACTTTACTGTGATTGGTTAAATTCTCGGTTAAATTTCAATCTAATCCCAATCCCAATCCGTAGTCTGATACGGGCTTTAGGATTCTACTTCAACCAATCGCGTAGTCTGTATACTATACGTCTATGGATCACATATGGCTCAAAATTAAATGTCTACAAACCTAACCTATAAGTCCTTTCTCTTTCCAGTGATAAATTGACGCGAAATTCTGACGCAAAACTCTTCTTAATGTAGGCTGTAAGTTAAAAATTTCTAAAAATTGTAAAAATTCATGTGACATATTTTACACTACTGTTTTCAGGTAACAAAACGGAACTATGTATGCGAATTGTTTCATCTTCTTTGCGCTTTGCTGTACATTGATATTTGCAAGAGCGTGTTGTTTGATATTTATCAAAAGCAATAAGCCCAGAGAAAAGTCTCGTCCAACTAAAACGATGATAATATTAGGATCCGGCGGACACACAGCCGAAATGCTGCGAATTGTCAAACGCCTGAACATTGACAATTATTCGCCCAGAGTGTACATTCACGCTCAGACAGATAGACTTAGTGCGGAAAAAGTTAAAGACTTGGAGCGTAGTAATAAAGATTACAAAATTGTGGAAATTTATAGAAGTCGGGAAGTTCGACAGTCGTACTTGACGTCAATTTGGACGACTGCATTTGCCACATTGAATTGCCTTCCGATACTGTGGAGAGAAAGCCCAAAGCTTATTTTATGCAACGGTCCTGGCACCTGTGTGCCATTATGTGTCATAGCATTTTTGTTTAAAGTTCTATTCCTCGCAGAAAGCATTGTTGTATTTATAGAGAGTTTCTGTAGAGTTAAAACTTTCTCATTAACGGGAAAGATACTGTATTATTTAGCTGATCATGTTATCGTGCGATGGGCATACTTGAGTAAACCTATGTATAGCAGAAGCGTTTGTTTATGAGTAAAGATCTTTCGCATATAATATTCTATAACAATAATTATTTACCTGAAGTGATTTATAGATGATGGCTTGCAGCGACTCTATGATAACAGTTCCTTGGGAATTATTAACGAAGGAATTGGAAAATATACCTGTTGAAATAAAGCTACACTTGACACCTATAATCAACGTGCTGCAAACATCTGATAAGCAATTGTAAATATTAAGAATTCGCAAGCAATATTATTTATGTCTACCATAAAGTTAAAATCTGTATCTTGTCATGTATAAACTGTCATGCGAGGATTAAAAAGTAGAAATTTCATACCTCTGTAGATTGTCTACATTCATTCATGAAACTTACTGTTCTGAACAAGTAGCATGCATAATATCCCATACAGTACAAGAACGTCCAGCAACATTGCAATGTTGCTGGACGTTCTTGTGCTGTATGGGATTTAATATAAAGATTTAATATGTGACTGTCAGTTTTGCTTTCCTCAAGAACTTCAGAAAAATGGATAAACGCTTCGATAACAAGACTGGAAGCTTGCTTAGACCGCACATGGGAGGTGTTGAATTCCGGTTACTGGAAAGACGTTCCAATTCAATACAGATATTCTTATTCTCTATGTGTTGTTATAAAGGTACAAAATGTTCTTGATTAATATATAATCCCACTTTTATATTGCCTTTCAAAAGTTTTTATTGACTAATATGAATTTTATTTAAAATTGTACTTGGTGCAATTAGGCTGTGCTATTAGAGATTCAGTACAAAATAGGTGTTGAAAGTTCTGATAGAGAAAGAAAGAAGACTGTATTAAAAAATATTATCAATCAAATTGATAGAGGCATTCTGTTAGGCGCACCTCTTTCCAGTATGCCAAATTTATTAACAGCTATTGCCACAAAGTTGAACAACTATTGTGCTGGTAAGAATATTTATAAAACTAGTTATTTTAACAATGTAATGACTTATTAATTTTTTCAATTAAATTAAATTATTTAAAAATTACGTTAAAATTGAATTTTATTTTTCAAATTAGAAGAATTTGATGCTATAAATGTGGAAGACATTTTAATTAACCATGAGGGAACTAACTATTTAATCTCTAATTGCCCGGATAGATATTTTGAAAAGCCTTCGATGCAAACATTTTATAATAAAATTTTTATGCCAAAATCACCAGCTGTATTAACAGGTAAACATGGGTCAAATTTGTCTCTTATATTTGTATCGTAATAATCTTTATCCTGATAATCTTCTGAGTTTTATTTATTCTGAATAAATTAGCAATTTGACATATGCTTAAAAAAACTATAGGAATACCTGAAATATTAAGTTTTATGTGTTCCATTAGATTGTATGAGTCATTGGAAAGCATTAACGTTATGGAAAAATCCTAACTATTTGAATAAGATTGCGGGATCTCGCACAGTGCCGATTGAAATTGGATCCCGTTATACTGAAGAAGACTGGACACAGCATCTTGTTAATTTTTCTGAATTTTTACGAAAGCACGTTATTGCAAATAATAGTGAAGTTGGTTATTTAGCACAGCATCAATTATTTGAACAGGTATTAATTCTCTACATTCGATGTAATTGCTGTACAAAAACATAATTGTTCAACATTTTAGATACCAGAGCTAAAAGAGGATTTCGAAGTGCCGGAATATTGTTGTTTTTCGGATAGCGAGGAGGATAATGCGGAATCGTCAGAAGTTGATATAAATGCTTGGTTTGGTCCCGCTAATACAGTGTCGCCTTTACATTTTGATCCAAAAAATAATCTGCTGTCTCAGGTAAAAAGGACAATTACAATCAAGATTCCTTGAATAAAATATGAAGTATTTTTTATTAACTTTATACTACATCTTGCATATTAGTAATTGGTGTCATTATTTTTATTTTTCAGATTTTCGGCTACAAAAGGGTCATTTTATATTCTCCGGCCGAAACGAATAACTTATATCCTTATGACACTAGATTACTTAATAATACTGCACAGGTAGATCCTGTACGGCCAGATTATGACAAGTGGCCGAATTTTCGTGAAGCCAGTGGTATGACGTTTTACTTAAAGCCTGGAGAAATGTTGTATATTCCACCGAAATGGTGGCATCATGTAACTGCCCTTACTCCGAGTTTCTCGATTAGTTTCTGGTGGAATTAATGTTTATTGTATTAATATAATAACAAATGTAATTTACAAATTAATTAAATTTGGCTGTTATTACAATAAAGTTGTTACCAACAATATATATTATATGTATAATATCGTAAAGATAATATGCATATAGATCCAGTATTTTTAAATGTTTGAATAGTACAGAAAGTTACTCGTTGTATTATGCTTTTTTAATAAATTTTTGAAGCTATGTGTTTTAATATACACAATGTATATAAAGTAACAAAGGATTGTAGGAAATACTATTGTCAAAATACATTATATGTATATGTATAATAATAATATTCGGGTGTTATTGCAAATATTACAGACATATTTGAAAAATAATAGTACAATTTAAAATACAGATGTCGCCAATAATTTAACAATAAGACTGCACAAGAGTATTATCTTGTATAAGTATTCACTTTTCTTTACTTACATAGAAATTATGTGTCCGGCAAATTCATAACTTTTTCGCAAATATATGTTGCACGAAAAAATTAGTTGATTTTATAATAAATTAAATTATTAATTATGATTAACAAATTAAAAATTTATCATTATTAATTTTACATGGAGTAGTGCAACATACAACATGTATATATATATATATATATATATATATATGTATATATACACGACAGAAAAAATCATGTACATACATTTCTTTCAATATAAACATTACATTCGTAAATTCACGTGATGTACTAGCTTCGAATATTAACGCAAACTTTGTGGCTACTTAACAAAGGCACGACATATAGGAGTTTAACAAAAATAACATAGAACTCTATTAATATCCGGCAGTCTACGTCTTCAGCATGGTGCTTACAGAGCGTGCGTGTACGTAGAGTTTGTCATAGAGAATATACAGTTTATTATTTAGTAATGACGAACGAAGACGCATTCCCACCGATCATTAGGCTCCAGGTAAAGACGCGTGCCAATTAATATCCGTCACTCTTCCCCCTTCAACCTCCTTTCCAAATTCTCTGTTGTGCACGCGGAAAATCTTGAAATCAAGCGTTTTATGTAACGATTACCTATAGCTTCAAGTTCTCTAAACGCCGTTGCTGACATTAATAAACATGCTTGGTAAAAAATCGATTAATGTATTTAATAATAATTTATTTAAACATGTCCAAGTGCAGTATTATGCATCAGTTGCATCGAGTGGCTGGTGAGATTAACTTATAATTTTATGGAAAATATGTGCAGTAACAGAGTCAAATTAATAAATAAATATTAGGTGACCGAATCAGCTGACATTTCGCTATCGAGGTTCGCTCGTGGTGATTATTGGACACTGTCCAGTAAGCGATAGCTCGATACTATTTTTAGAAATAATTTGTCAGAGTATTCGGAAACTGTTATTTGTGTTCAAAAAAGATAGTTGTCGAATATGCTGTGTCAACATTCGCCGCTATAACTTCACTGAATTATTAATCTTTTATCATTCTTATCTCAATGCTTGCCATTCTCAAGAGAAAAAGTTATTTGCGTTTTCGCGCTTTCTCAGTGAGAAATGATTCGTCGATCGACGTCGAAACGATGCCGAATCGACATCGAGACCGTCAAATTGACGCAAATCAAATATTCTTTTCACATCGGCAATTTTCAAAATGAGGGCTTTGTGTATAATTTCTCACTGTCTCGTTTTAATTTCCTTTTTTTCAGAGATAATAAATTTTCAAAGGGAAATTTAAAAAATCGCGTATCGACAGTTCAGTGTATGGTCGACAACCCGTATCGACGCACTGTTCTGAAAAGTCGAAATAGACGCGTAAACAACATCTTAACTAATATATGTTATTGCGAATAGTATTATCACAGCCCCAGTGGTCGAGCTGGTAAAACGCCCATCACGGATTGAGGGAGGTCCCAGGTTCGAATCCTGGTTGGGGTAATATTTTTCGCAATAAGAATTTTAATTGCCAGATACGGTCAATAAAAATCATTGATGTTGTTAATTACTGCTGGCGACTTTTAAGAGTATTCTTAATAGTTTATAATAAATTTTGTTCATATTTATTAACAATAATTTTCAGTTAATCGGCTGTCAGTTGCACAGGATTACGTACAAATAGCAAATTTATTATTATGTATGTATAACAAATTTCGCGATATCTTCACACACTCGCATGCACGTGATACGAAAATAATTTCAATCTCGTATGTTGATGGCAATTCGATCAAAGATTATTGTGTCGAAGATCTTACACAGAAAATATGTTGCTGGACGCGATAATAAGGGCAGAGACTCTATATGTATCCGCGAAATCTCACAGCCGATTGGTGCGCAAGAGAATTAAGGGTACGAGAAGTGTGGCAGCATGCTGGAGTCGGGGGGTCGCGGCCTTGGATGAAGGCACGCGAGTGCAAGGTTGTACCGAGGGATGTATGCGACGGGGTGACGCGCATACATACATAACGTTGTTCTTCCTACTTGCGGCGACACAGGCTCGGCTGTAAAGATTTTATTGATCGCAATGTACGTACAACGATCATATGCTGCTCATTTTCTTGCAAGATGCGATTTAGGACGTTGACGTTGACCGAAATGACTCTGAAATTATTTTTTTAAATCAATTGAAAAAATCACGCGCACTTTTAAGTGCGTGAAGTTATCGCAACTTCGTACAGATATAACCAGAAACATGTCTACATAATTACTGCTTTATATTATTTGGCATTAATCAATTGGCGATATCTGTGTTTATTTAACGACGCCGTAGAATGCGAATGTGATGTTTCGCAGCCCCTTCTTTAAGAATTCTACGGATTTCTCGCACGGCGTGTGCGATGGTACCTCGAGGTTCCGTGGCTTAAGAAAATGTTTTGCGTTTGAGTGGCAATTCTCCCCCCCCCCCCCCCAGTGCAATCTCGCGCATATTCGGCCACGTGTCTTTACATCCCGCCGGTTGAAAGGAGCATAGCCCCCGGGCACGGACGGTGTTTGCACGTGGCGGCTAGAATACGAAATGCATCGCTCGCAACCCCCGCAACCCCTCGTATCTTGCGCACGAGAAGGTGCGCGCTATCGCCGCCGCCGGTGCGGTTTCTTTCGCGGAAACGTGTTCCACCTTCCCCGTCGGTAATCCAAGCTCAATGGTGATTCCACAGCGCGCACATCGCACCCTCGTAACGTTTCTATAAACTGTTCCATGGCACACGCAAATACACACACCAGATTGAGAAGGAAAAGGTCGGACGTAGCGATAGGATAAAATGAGAAACGCGCGAGGATGAGGGATGAGAGGGGGGCTTATTGTTTCGGAATAAAATGCGCAGAAAGTGAAATACATTCGAGAAATTATTCCGATTTCTATCGAAGGGAGGGACTGAACAATTTACTTTACAGGGCGGACACGAATTAAACGGATTCTGTTCTCTCCTCGTTCTGTGGATATTTTTGTGTCGGTCTAACAACTTAAATTTCTAATCTTCCGACAAAAATGTTATTCAAGATACTTTCTATTATGTATACGTATACATAAAATACAAAAATACATGTATATACCCTAGTAGCAGAGTGCATCGGCTAAACACTGGCAAAATATTTGTCCAATGTTGGTTATATTAGAAATGCATTGGCCGATGTTGGTCACAGAATAAATGTAAATATTGCACGATAATAATTATATAATGTCAGATTTATATTGGAAGTGCATTGGCCGATATTTAACAATATAATAAGAATATTGGACCAATATTGCTAAATAGACATATTGGCTAAATAAGAGAAGACGTTCATCTTACACTATTGGACCAATATTGGGAATACTAGATTTACATGGTAATTATTTAGATTAACACACCCACCTCCAATAACCTTGGGCTTGACATATATTATAGAGGTCACCCTCCTGAGTAACCCTCAGAAGGATTTAGCCGGCGCTCGTTGTTTATTAAAAAGTTATTAAAAAAACAATGTCAACCAATTATATGTAATTTTTAGACACAAATATTAAAAATTTTGAAAAAGGTTTTAAACAAAAGTTGTAGATCTCTTTGAAATATACATTTTATGTTCTATTCATTTTTACTGTGCGAGTAATAGTTTTCGAAAAAAATGATGAACTCTAAATCTTATATCTCTCCTCCCATCTCCATCTGTCGTATAAGTCGTATAAGTCGTATAAAGTTGATTAAACACGTAAGTCGCAAGTGTTTTTG